TTTCAGAAATGGCAACTGATTCAATCAACATGGATGTAACCCAAGCTATGGCTAATGAAAATCAGGATGTGGGCTCTGCTATGGCTCAAGGGCCAAGTTCTGTTGTGGCTCAGACTGTGGCTAGGTTACCAAGTCATGTTGTGAGTCAAACAACTGGCCATACTGTTACTGCTCCGGTTAATCATGGTGAAAAATCGAAAAAATTCAATGGCTTGAATTTCAAAAGGTCGTAGGAGAAAATGTTGTTTTATCTGACCACCTTGAATCTTGCGAGATTTTTGACTGAAAGTGCTCCAAAACTCCAAGAGGGTGAGGGAGATGTTCAAGCTGTCTGTACACTTGATGCGTGGAAACATTCGGATTTTTTGTGCCAAAACTACATCATGAACAGTTTAGAAGATTCGCTATACAATGTGTATANAGGGTGAGGGAGATGTTCAAGCTGTTAGTGCGCTTGATGCGTGGAAACATTCGAATTTTTTGTGCTGAAACTACATCATGAACAATTTAGCAGATTCGCTATACAATGTGTATAGTGCTATGAAAACTGCTAAAGAGTTGTGGGAGTCATTGGACCGGAAATATAAGACTGAGGATGCCTAGGCAGAGAAGTTTATTGTTGGCCGATTCTTGAATTATAATATAGTGGACTCCAAAACAGTAATCAGTCAAATGCAAGAACTCCAAGTGATTCTTCACGAAATTCATGCCTAAGAGATGATATTGAGTGAAATTTTCCAAGTGGCTGCAATTATTGAAAAATTGCCCCTCACATGGAAAAATTTCAAGAATTATCTAAATCACAAATGGAAGGAAATGAACGTCGAAGAACTGATTGTTAGACTTCGAATTGAAGAAGACAACAAGATTTTCGAGAAGAAGTGATTCAATCCTGGTGTTGCTAAAGCTAATGTTATGGAGCATGGTCAAAGCAGTAAGACCTACAAAAATAAGCCCGGGTCATCCTGTGGCAAAAGGACCAAGTTAGGACCTAAATGTGGAATTTTTAAAAAGAAGTTTCAA